TGCTGATCTCATTTTACATATGGATGATACATCACGTAATGGTTTTATTGATTATCTAGAATTTATAAAATTTATAATTATATTTATTTTTTATAAACAAATAAAAAAAATTAAAGTTCAATATCTCATTTAAATAATATACATACCTTCTGCTCAAAAAGTATCCTGATGTTGTTGCTTGTTAACTACTCCTTAAGTAATAGACCTCTTTTAAATTTTTTTTTTGTTATATTGGTACACCCTTTCTTGACATATGGTACAAATTTGAGCGCCATCTATCAACTAGTGTGTTTACAGCAGCTGTTAATGTAAGACTGCCTCAAGTGCATTTAGCGATTTTTACTATAGAAAATTCTTGTTCTACGCGATTTTTTGACCAAACAAGGCACCACTGTCATCGCTCAGGCACCATATTCGCCAGATCTAACGCCGTGCGACTTTTTCCTGTTCCCGAAACTCAAATTGTCCCTTCGTGGTAAGCGTTTTGAGTCGATTGAATCGGTAAAAGAGAATTCGCCGAAGGAACTAAAAGCCATACCTTCACGGGCCTACGAAAAGCGTATGAAAGATTGGGTTAAGCGTTGGCATATGTGTATCGCTTCAGAAGGAGCATATTTTGAGGGAGATAAAATATATTTTGAACAAAATTTAAATTTGTGTGCTTTATTTACAAAATCCGAGTACTTTTTGAGCAAAAGGTATGTATATCATTTATAAAGTTTTTTAGGATTTTTTTTTATTATGATATAGTTTTTATAATTTTTATTATTATTGAATTTTGAATATTTAATTAAATCAATTTCTGAAATGGAAGGCGTTAGAAAATTAAGTTTGTTCATTTATAGTATGATTTTTTTTATTTTACATTTAAAAGAAAAAAAAATAGATAAACGTAATACATATGTATATATATTAGGGTGCCATTAATTTTCGAAAGTCGGAAAATTGCCCGCGGCATCTCCCAAATCGGTTCATTTCACTAAAAAAATAATCTGTGTGAAATTTTAGTTCAATTGGATAAGTGGAAATGGTGCCCCAAGAGCCTCAAAGATTGGGAAATATGTTAACGATTTTTTCCATAAAATTCATCTTTGATTGCTTATATCTCCGACAAATTTAATTTTACATAAAAACTGTCTTCCTAAAAGTTATAGATCTATTAATAAACAATTCACTAATACAAAGTTTTTCTGTATTTCTAATAGTTATTGAATAAAACAAAAAATAAGTTGAAGTCATCCGATTGCTAGCTTTGAAAGTACTATGAATTAGTCCTGTTCATATTCGAATTTACGAAGTATTCGAAGAAATTCGAATATTCGCATTTCAACGAAGTCTTCGAAGTTGGAAAAAACTTCGAAGTTTTTGTGAGTTTTTGTTCTCGAAGTCTTCAAAGTTTAAATGTAGTGAAAAACTTCGAAGACTTCGAAAGCAAAAGATGAAGTGAGAGCGCAAAATGCAAACAAACGTGCATCACACAAATTATTTGAGGGATGAAAGCATTTGCTTCGCTTGTACGTTTTTGTTTTTTTTTTTTGGTGTTCTATGCAGAAAATTAAAAACATGTTTTTTTGTTTTATTTTATTACATAAATTTATTTATTATTAATATTGTATTATAATATATATTATTATTAAATATGTTATTATTAAATATTATTTATATTAAATAAAAAATTTACATTTTAAATAACTTATATTTATTATTTATATTTAAAAAATCATATTTGAGAAATTCACAAAAATTTCGAAGTTTTTTCCAACTTCGAAGACTTCGTTGAAATGCGAATATTCGAATATTCGAAGAACTTCGAATTTTTAAAAACTTCGAATAATGTGAACAGCACTACTATGAATGCAATTGTCCGCTTCAGCGTTACAAAAAATTTAATATTTCTAAAAAATTCAAAATAAATTCAATATATCTAAAATTTAATCTTTCTAATAATAAAAAAGTACTAATTCTAGGTTTGTCCGACATAATTTTTATTATTTTAGTTAAAGTTGCTGGAGCAAAGTATCCTTATTACAACTTGGAAAACGACGGCGGTAATCGTTAACAATTTTTAATATCTACTGTTTTCGATTCTCCTTTTTTATTAAAATTGAATTATAGTCCAGCATTAGTTTCACTCCTCGCTATGTCGTATCGTTTACTACTTTCAAGCTTAAAAGTTTTCAAAATAGCTTTCAAGCCATTTTGTGGGGGCATATTTTTTCAAGAAGCCATCGCACAACTTGAAACGATTAAAAATGTTTTTAGTATTTTTGTATACAAACTGTTCAATTGCCTTTTCGACGATTTCAGTTATTTTTGCGGGACCTATTGATACTCTCCTGACTTTCTTGTCATCACTATCTATATTCAAATTTGAAACCATCTTTTTCTTTGTCTCAGGTGATATATTTAAATCCAAAAAAGCAAAATGAACAAGCTTTGAGCTTAAATACTAAATACAATTTTTTGATATTGACTGAGAATAGAAAGAAGATTTAAATCTTGAAAATGAGCTATGACTGATGACAAAGCATTAAACCATACTTCAACATACACTTTAGTAATAAATATACACATATCGAAAAGAGAATTTTCTTCTTCTGTAGATAATTTGAACTCTTTCCTAAATAAAAATATTTTTAATACATGCATGACTTTCACCATCCATCTTGCATGATGTATAGTTCCAGGAGGTCGAAACTTTATTGTACAGTTCGGTTTTTTTCCTAAAAACATTAATGCAAGTTCCAGAAGTTCCCTATAATCATCTCTTGGTTGGTTATCCTTACGAATCTTATAAAGGAAACGAATATTTAAAGAAGACATCTCGGTAACACTTTTTAATGTAATCACTTTGAATTAATCAATACGATAAAATATTATTAAATTCACTTCGCATTCTAATGAATAATACAGAAACTCACTTATGTATATAACTCACATATATAACATATATATAACAAATTTAGTAAACAATTCATTCATTGAACTTACCTAAATTTAATAGGGGGATTTCAGCTTGTATTTGCTTTTATTCAATAACTATTAGAAATACAGAAAAACTTTGTATGAGTGAATTGTTTATTTTTAATAGGTCTATAACTTTTAGGAAGACAGTTTTTATGTAAAATTTAATATGTCGGAGATATAAGCAATCAAAGATGAATTTTATGGAAAAAATCGTTATTTTCCAATCTTTGAGGCTCTTGGGGCACCATTTCCACTTATCCAATTGAACTAAAATTTTACACAGATTATTTTTTTAGTGAAATGAACCGATCTGGGGGGTGCCGTCAACCGATTTTACGAATAAAAAATTGCCCATATACCTTAATGGCACCCTAATATAAATACATATTCATGTATATTTCATTTGAATGATTATATTTAATAAATAAAGTTTATTAGTTATTTAAATTTGGTTTTATGTACTTGTAACTCACATTTTCTCTCCTTTTTATATATTTGTAGGTATGTTATATAAAAAAAAATGTAAGAAAAGAAAAATTCTTCAACCAGATGGCTTAAAGTTTAGAAATATAGATGACAGGTGAAAGTGAAAAAGGGGACAGTGTTAGGTTGAGGTAAAGTTAAAATGAGTTAAACAGGACCCTAGTCGTCCCTAGTTGAATTAGCTATGAGGAATTTAGTAGGGCCTTTTACTTCAGCTCAATGGTAACTACGGTAGGACAGTGAAGGTGAGTAGGTCGAAACTGACAGGCATGGACAGAGACAGTACGGAGTAGCACTGGAAGACACAGTTTTACCCTTAGATAGTTTTTTTTATAAATTTTTTTAATTTTTATTTTTATTTTTCTTATTTCTCTTTTGAATCTACTTTGATCACCATTATTTTGTTTTTTTTTTGTTAAATAATACACTCTGGCATGATTGTTTTTCTTTGTTACGATTCGATAGTGTTATAGCGGAGTGAATAATCCACCGTGCCAGACCTTTACTCCGTTTACAACATATTCAAAGATGTTGAACGTAACAATGTATCTGCTGTGGAGGTAAAATTTTTCCTTATACATTTTTGAGAAACTGCAACAGTTATTTACTATTAGATCCTCTCATTTGACTCTATTGGAAGTGCCCTAGATCCTCCACATTGTCGGCTAACTTTGATTCAGGAAATTAATTCAATTAATTACACGTGGTAATTATTTTATATAATTTTCGAAAGGATTGTTTATTAAATATGCATGGAAGTTTTACAAAATTAGTATCAAAATATTTTAATTAAGCTTCGTCATTGATGCCGTGCGTAAACTGATAATATAAGATCGTCATGTGACAAGATAGAGATATCTTTGGGGCTTTCTCTCACCAGCATACATTCACCAGCATACACACCTGGTCGTAAAAAAGGTTTGTTCTCGTTGGATCCCACACAATTTGACAATCGCTCAAAAAAAGGCTTGTGTCGATTGGTGCAAAGAAATATTGAAAAAATACGTTCACAGTGCTTCAAAAGACGTTTATAAGATTGCCACAGGTAACGAATCATGGATCTATGCGTATGATCCCGAAACAAAACAACAATCGACCGTGTGAGTCTTCGAAGACGAGCCAAATCCAACGAAAGTTGTTCGTGGAAGAAGCACTTCGAAGCAAATGGTCACCGATTTCTTCGGCAAAACTGGTCATGTGGCGACTGCGTCTGTTCCGCTTGAGCAACAGAAAAGTGCTTCGACAATTGGTTTGAGCGCATGGAAAAGTATATAAATCAGGGTGAAAATACTTTGAAAAACAGTAAAACAATTTTTGATGATAAATATTTGCAATTTCATTATTAGGCCAAACATATATATAGCAGCCTTCGTACATATATTATCGTAGTTTTTAAAAAAATCCAACTATATTTACCACAACAGAGTACTGCAATGGTGACCAAATGTAAAGTGAATACAATTAAGTTCGTACCAAGTTGTCATTGAAACTTAAATTGTATTTTTATGAAGTTAAATATGTTTTTTATTTTAAATCTAATACTATTCAAAACTGTTTCACTTTTTTCAAAACATATTTTTGATAGGCACTAAATTTTTTTTAGTATTATTAGTTTATTTTAGAACCAAAATTGCGTTTAAAATGGAGACGTCCTTTGATGGTGGTACCGTGAAGGAAGATGGAGATGTCAAGACTCCTAAAATAAAAACCACAGCATTTGAAAACTCAATCGCTTGCGATCAAGCTACACAGGCGGATGTAAGTAATCATATCAAATATATTCCAATATTATGTTTAATTCTGCAATGATATTACACCATGCGATTCATTTTTATATGGATATTTTCCAAAAGCAACATGTCTACAGACAATTTGAGATTCATAAATATATCATGTTATAGGATTTTCGATCTTAACATATGTATATTCTACAAACGACATTTAACGCAACCACCAGATATCCGTTTTTCTCTTTTAATAGCACCTATATTATATGTGATGTGCTAATGATTACTTATTAACTTATTAAAATAATCAAGTAGACAACTGGTCACTTCTTTAATCTACAACTCGGTTCTAAAGGTGTTAACTACAATCTCAGTTAAACAACATACAAATTACTTTATGAATAGAGTGCATAGAGGTGATACCTTATTCTAGATATATTCCAATTGTTTCCAATTAATATCTATCCCTATCTCTTAAGTCCGAATAAACACGCCCTGACTCGTCGACTCGTGAGTTTAACTTAATGAAAATTAATTGTTTAGACCTTTACTAAATGTTGACTTTCTTGGGTATCTACTTTCAATACTTTGCAATAACGAGAGTAATCGGAAAAACTTTACATGGTCAACATAGGCACACATGCTTAAATCTCAGCAATATCCATCACTGAGATTAGTTCTACTAAGATTGTTAGTTAGTACTAAGTTCCCGCTTTGATGCTATTACCACTACAAGATATCTATTAAATAAAGATTAAAAGTATAATTACAACGCATTTGCTCCTGATATATGTATGAACTTTGGCGATGCCAAATATATGTTGAAATTTTGCTCAAATCAGAAAATCCGCAAGACAAAAATATAGCCAACCTCAAAACGTAAAAATGAACTATGTTTGATAATATGGAGTATGAAGTCACTATATCAGGCTGGAATAGTAACACAAGTTTGCAAAACATAAGATTAATTTCACTTCAGTTTTATAGACCTAGGCAATTGCCTGCTACTGATGAACCCTCAGTACGTTTTCCGAGCTTGCTAAATAAAAGTCATTCAAAACCACAAAATATATTCTAATTGTGAAATAGTTTTCAAATTTTTTACTCAATGACTATATTCGATAAAAATTATTTTACTAAGATGTCATTGAAAAATTTAAATAGTATCAATATGAAGTAAAATAAGTTTTTCATTTTAAAATAAATTTGTATTAAGATTGTTTCACTTTGTTTTTACAAAATAAATTTGTTATATACCAAATTTTTAGTTTGTTGTAAAAATGGATGAGAAGTCTCTGTGTTCTCATATCTCCATTACACTTAAAACGGAGGCAATGGTCGATGACAGTATTTTGATCGCTGAAGGGGGTACTACAGCTGCTGAACCTGAAGCTTTAAAAGTTGATCAGGTTGTTCAGACCGATGTAAGTATTTATTTCTGACATTTTCATTTCCCTCATTTAAATATTTTTAAAAATGCTAATATAAAAATTTTTCTTTAATAATCTGACAAAGGCAATATCTCTTGTTGAACTACTTCGAAGTCAAAACAAAAGAGAGTTTTTGAATGGCAAGCGATTCAGAAATAGACCTGTCATTGTAAACTACTCCGAAAAACTTTTATCTTTGGAAGCTCTATTAAGCGATGAACGCGAAAACGATTATATGGTATGTAGACATATTTTATTAAATAACGAATATTAAATAACGGTATTCCTTGTACCCCTTATTCCTTGTACCCCTTAGAAAGAACTGATTAATTTCAAACTAAATTTCAAATTCAAGTCAGGTTAAAACAAACATTACTGATACAGATTACAAATTATTGACGTTTTAAGTCCTGGAAGTACCTTGCACATGTTGTTGTTGTTGTTGTGATTTGAGTTAGTGCTATTGCGCACTTTTACTCTATTGTGACTGGGGGGCTTATCCCTACCCCACACTAAACTTTAGCTATTCTAGAAACATTATCATTTATTTATTTTCTAACTGATGACGGACCGTAGATCAGCATATCTTCCTGTGCGTGCTGAGGTGGAATTATGGTTTGTTAGAGCGGGGTTGACAACATATCAACTTTTGTGAATAATTTTAGGGCTCTGTCCTGTTGATGATACTATATTATAATTGTAGTCTGTGACTACCAAATGCTTTTCCTTGTTTTTTTTTGCGGTACAATTACTTAAGTTTCGGTATTTTTCTATTTGTATTTGTATTTGTATTTGTATTTGTATTTGTATTTGTATTTGTATTTGTATTTGTATTTGTATTTGTATTTGTATTTGTATTTGTATTTGTATTTGTATTGTATTTGTATTTGTATTGTATTTGTATTTGTATTGTATTGTATTTATTGTATTTGTATTTGTATTTGTATTTGTATTTGTATTTTGTATTTGTATTTGTATTTGTATTTGTATTTGTATTTGTATTTGTATTTGTATTTGTATTTGTATTTGTATTTGTATTTGTATTTGTAGACAAACTTTAACAACTATTATTAACAAATAGTTAGAGCGGAAAAAGAACTTTCATATGTGTTCTGATCTAGCCGTTGAAATGGTTACTTGTAATTGAGTCCTTTTGCTTCATCTTCTCGGATAGTGTCTAACTATGAGTCTTATAGCTAGGTTATTAGGATGGATGGCACTGGTGCTTAATTTTTCAATTTCTTCCTTGATTATATTTACTCTTACGTTCTTGCGAATCATTTGATCAATAATTGAACTCTGTCTAGAACTGAATTAGAAGCAGTGCCCCATAATTGTGTTGCATAGTTTCAACAAAGTTTTATCATTGTATTAAATAGAAGTATTTATTATCGAGGCTACGAATTGATTTTGGATCCACAACCCAATAGAAATTAAAACTTTCAGTTTTTTCCAAATCAATTTCTTGTCCAGTATTAGTCGCAAATAGTTAACAGAATCATTATAAGTTTCATTAGAAGTCTGTTGTCTAGTTGTGAAAAAATTCAAAAAACTGCTGTTCCCTTATATAATATTATGACGAGGAGGATTGCATTGAACTGCAATGAAAGTGGTTTCTACACATTCTTTCACCTTGCAATATTTTATTCTACTAATATTCTATATTCTATTATAAGTATTCCTGCCCTACCACATGCCTTACTTTCTAGATGTTGGGTGTTATAGAACTCAAATATCTTGATTTTAAAATTATTAGATTTAATTGAGTTTCAGATGTAAGCGCTATCTCCATCGCTTGACTCTCCAGAAATACCTACAGTTCATTCTTGTCATAAGCCGTTCGCATTCCGACAACATGTATTGAGAGAGTTCATTGTCTCGAGAGAATAGTTTGCAATAAATGTGTGGACAACTGCCTATCACTGATTAATACCTACACTACCCCGGATATGTAGAATGTAAAGGATGTACACTTTTATAATATATTCAAGCGATTACTAAAGTGATTACTATTTACATTCGGTCAAATTCGTTTCAAATTATTTTTAAAATGCATTAAATTTGTAGATGTGTACAAAAATGGATGAAAATTGCAAAAGTTCAGACCAATCGGCCTTTTCAAAATCTCAGATGACCTCTGACGGTGATTGTCGCAAACAAGAGAATGGTGTTATGAATTCTAGATTAGAAGGCGTAAAATCGAAATTCTCAGATATGAAAGATCAAGCTATGCAGACAGACGTAAGCATTTCTTTTAAACACATTTAATTTTATGAAAAAATAACATATTCCCTAATTTATTATCATTCTATAATTCGACAAAGACGATATCGGTTGCATCAGTTTTAATGCATTACGAAAAAACATATCGTGCAAATGACTCAGGAAAGGTGAAATCAGTAAAAACGGAGTCAACAAAAAAATGTCCAGAGATGCCTTCCGTACGTATAAATATTTTATTAAAAACTAGTGTATCTAATTTACAATTTTCAGCAATCTGTTATGTGCACGGATCCCTGCCCATACTGTGAATTTTTTGATAGAGGGCAGGCAAACTCACTAGAGCTAGCCAGTGAAGAAAAAGCGTTCACTGAGAAATGTTACTTTGCAAACTATAAGCCCAAACTTTCCAGAAAGACCATTAATATTACAGAGAAAGTGGGTAGTGATTTTTTGGATAATAAAGATAATGATTCTGTTAAAGGATCGAGCAATACTGATTCTAAAAATTGCATGGAACCAGAAGGTATTTTCGTAAATACAACGAAAAACGAACTAGAGGAAACGATTGTTGTGGATAAAAATCAGTATAAAACTGAAAATGATCTCTTAAAATTGTCAGAGCTTAACACTAATGAACTGAAAGAATCGCAAATAATCACGTTTCCATTCGATGTTAAAAGAATTCGGTCTGCAGATGAAATTTTCAGACTTACCAAAAGCGATGGTTATTTATCTAATCTTCCTGAATGCGATACAAAACCACTTCGCAAAACCAACAGTCTTTGTAACTACCGCAACAAGAATCTTGTGTTTAAAAAGGGTGCAGAATCAGATATAAGCGAATTGAGGAAGATTTTGAGCATAGACGAAAAACCAAATAATACTGAAAATGATCGTTTAAAGCCACTAAGCACTGTTGAGATTGAGGATTCGCATATATATACAAGAATATCCATTAGCGATTGCAAGCTCTCTGCAGTTTGTGCAGATAACGGAAACATGAACTACAAAACAGACTATCTTTCTGACTGGCTTGAAAGAAAACATTTCTTAAGTTTCAAAAACACTAAAATCAGAAAAGTAAGTAAAAGTTCGAAGGCGATTTGCAAAGATAAAAAAAATGTACATGATGTATCGAAGCCAGTGTATATGAGCTTATTAGAGTGGGAAGAGTGTTGCAATCTAAGTAGTTATTTAAAAACACCAACATCAACACCAAGCAGTACTCAGGAAATCAGGAAACCATGATAGTACAATTATTCTCAAATGTATTGTATAGAATTCATTCGTAAAGATTTATATAAACCATCAAATTGTTATAGATAAGTAACCAGAAAAAAAACGCTGAAACCATTGCTTTGAAATTGATTTCTTTTAAAAGCCAAAGCGAGGACACCGAAATGGACTTTCCCAAATGAACCTTAAAATGACATTGTCTCAGCATTTATTGTATTACAGTACAAAGACTTTTACAGTATTATTAACATCACTTGGAGATCTCGAGAGAAATGATTCTATTGGAGAAATTTTATAGTTTCTACTAATAATATATTTATTTTAAAATTGTGGAAGAATTTATGATATTAAATTCAAGGTATTAGTTAAACAATTAATTTCACTATTAGAACACTAGTTTTACTTTAGAACTAAATTTAAATAGTGGATGGAATTTATAAAGTTTAAAAATTGTTGATGTGTATTATATACGTGATATATTCTAAATCAAATAAATTTAACTATACCGCTGGTAATGGTGCAAATCTATTCTTAAAATATATATGTATAAAATTTTGATTAGTTGATTAATGACTTGTCATCAAGGACTTGAAATGATTTTAAAGCAATTGTTATAGGTTGCTCAATAAGTTTGCAAACGAGAATAGAAAAACGAACTTCTAATAGTAAAAAAAAATATTTTTTTAGTTTGATTTTCTTCAATTCCGACGATTTTTCAAAATATGCCTCCAACCTTTGTGAGAGGAACCAGAAATGAAAAAAAAATATGGCAAATTAACTGATTATTGCAACAATTTGTACTTCAATTCATTTAATCGTGTGATGGTTTTTAAAATGCTTAAGCAGATGCATTGACTTGATAAGTCCTTTTCAATCCATTTTTCCATTAAATTGGTGCCAATTATATCTATCATTACCTAAATCAATTGCTATAAACTCAGTTTTTACTCGCTTGAGAGCGTAAGGAAAAAACTCCTTAGCTTCTTACTTTGATTTAAAATTCTCAAAGTAGATCCACATCTCAACTTTACAACTCTTCTCTAATACGTTGTAGATGTTGTGAAGAAAATAGCATTATTTCATATTCAGCTAATGTGCATTAAGCTTCTGGAACTTCAAAACTTCATATAAAATTTTTTTTTTTGTGGTTGATTAAAATTGTAAATTTTATTACACATCTCTCTCTGTAAATCGAGGATCTTCTAAAATTCTAGCGTTTATTCTGATGGCTATTTCTGATATTGATACAGTTTCTGATGGTCCTTCACACAGTCAATCCTGAATGCATATATGACCAATTTCAAATAAAATAAGAATAAAAATTCTAAATTTTACTACACACCTCTCTCTATAAATCGAGGGTCTTCTAAAATCCTCGCGTTTATTCTGATGGCTATTTCTGATATTGATACAGTTTCTGATGTTCCTTCACACAGTCAATCCTGAATGCTTATATGACCAATTTCAAATAAACCCACGTTTTTGAAACGCATTTACAAACCATTTTTTGTGAAGTAGGAGTTCCAAACAATTGAATTTCTGAAAGATGCCCTTTTTTTCTACAGCTTCATCTACTGCAATTGGCTTGTGTCATAACAAGGAATGAACTGACAGGTTTGAATAACATTTTAGTTGCTTTTAAAAAAACCACGATGCAAGTATAACCCACAGTACAAATGGTCAGCAAAAATAAAATATTGACAAAAGGTTATATTCACTATAGATGGCGAAACGATACTAAGGTTTTTAGTCGCGGGTGATATGTGCAAATAAACTATATAGAGAATTTAATAAGAATTTTGATTGTTAAATGTAATTTATGTATTGCACAGAATCTGAAAACCTGTTGACCTGTTCAGTTTTTTTTAAATCCATTCATATGCGGCTATATAATTAAAACATAGCGCTGATTCGAACACAAAAACCAATGTCTGGAATATATGGTAACGAGCATTATGAATTTAAATGAAAGTATGGAAAAATAGCATCAAACACACAGACCTGCACTGCACAAAAAAAACCACTAAGCAAATCTGTTTGGAATCCTCCGACAGCTTATTTGATTATTTCCGTTTCAAGCCACTTAACCACTGCGACTTAACTTCAGACAGTTTTAATGTGCTGTAGGTTTTTATAAGGGTACCTTCAATTTCCATTTTTTTTTTGGTCATATTCTGTGATTTTGAAATCTTACATTACCACGAGGTTTTACGAAAACTGTCAAATCTATCTGCAATAAAAGCTGGTGCACGTCAGGGGGGCGTACTCGGTTCACTACTATACCTGCTTTACACTATGGACTAGCCAATAAGACCCGAAAGTAAAATTATAACATTTGCAGATGATATTGCAATTTTGGCGATTGCTGACTCCGTTGAAGAATCAATAGCCAAATTACAAATATCTACAAATTCGGTAAACAATTGGACAAAAAAAAGATGGCGTATCAAACTGAATTCTGTTGAATCGGTTCTTGTGGATTTTTCAAATAAATAAATACAATACTTTCCTATTTCGATACAAGGTACTCAGACACTATATGCTTATACTGCAAAATATCTTGGCATAACGTTGGACACACAAAATTTCGATGGAAGGAGCACATACAAAAGAAACAAGTCAAGTTTGATATGAAGTTGCGAAAAATGGAGTGGCTGATTGCAAATCCACACTATCTATGCAAAAACAAGATTCTGCTGTACAATCAAATTTTAAAACCTGTATGGTCATTCCCTATATGGGGAGCCAATGTTTTCAGAACAAGGTTCTACGGAACATTTTAAAAGCGCCATGGTATATGTAAAATTATCCACAGTTGCTGAAGAAATAAAAAAGAAAGTAACAAGTCACAAACTGAGGTTGTAGCAACATGTAAACACAGAAGCTGTTAACATCTTAACCTCGTATGGACAACCAAGACGACTAAAACGACGAAATGTCGCTGACATGGCATCGAATTAGAATCTAGTGTAATTTGTTTAGAATATTGCTTATTTATGTACTTTTGTTATTGATCAGATACAAGCTACTCGTTGTTTATAATGTAAATAGTTGTAGGAATACACAAAAAAAAACACAAAAAAAAATTTTGGTGCTTGCTTAGACCACTAGTAGTTTTAGGATTAAGACATAAATAGTCCGAGCCAACAATTGCAGTATCGTTTGGGTAAGCTGGGTAATATCTTTAATGCTCAGCTTGGAGCTGCCATATAGATTAATGAGAAAGAAAGATCCTACAGTACTATAGTACTTATTCAGTATAGGTACGAGCAGAGCAGTAGCAAAGCAATACATACTTCACACTGTTCGGACCCACAGCTACGCTGGTAATCATCATATTGTATGTCAGCTCTGTTAATATGACTATGCCTTAGATATTAGTCTGTTTGTGCAAACTGTATGGGACAATGAGAGTGATCGAGGTAAAGTTCAACTATAGCTTTTCTAATAAATTTTCTACTTCAAGAAGATTTACACTTTAATCTTAACACTCATACACTTAACAGCATTTCCATTGAAAGCCAGTGTGTACATTGAATGGGTAAAACGTATTTAGAACTTCTTGGTCATTTATAACCATGATGAGAATATAAATAAACATCAAATACAAATTAACACTCTGCTTAGCCGGAAGAGTGTATATAACAAGTCTCAAATCCTTCGCGCAGCCAAAACACAAGTTTGTTTTAGTTCATGAGACATTCAAATCCTTGCGTTTAAGGAGTGCCATGAGGAGACAGAGGTCAGAGTTTTTTATTGTAATTCTTAATAAACGTATTCGCATAATGCGCCGTTAAACCCCCTATATGAATTCAAGAAATTTCAAGAAATTCCACTAGTACCAATTAAAGCTATACGTTTGAATGTACTTTTATTCTTAGTAAGGAGCAAGGCCTATCTAATATCTCTGATTATTTTTGGATCACGGCATTCGGTTGGAAAGTGCAACTCCACATCGAATGAAAGTAAAATTGCAATATCATTTGCAGATGATATTGTAATTTTGGCGATTGCTGACTCCGTAAATGAATGGAGTCATTTACAGCCAAAGAATCTAAAAGCCCCTCCCTGGTCCTAGGTGGCGTAGATGATACACACTCACTACCAGTGATACATAGAGTACAGAGTGGCGCTAAATGAAGTTCAGTCGCCACTTATGACAGGTATGCCTTACCTTAGGCGTATTCTAACCCCATAACCCGAAAGGGGAGCACAAAAAGGAAGTACGGGATTGAACACAATAACGATAACACCAGCATTTAATATGTCAAATGCCATCAAAAAGACTACCTTGTCTAATCATTATCAAAGACAACCACCCACTCCAATTTATTACTAAAATTTCTCTTAAGGTAGCTATAATAAAATAATTTATTAGCGGGCTAATTGGTCAATTGAAATAGAAATAAAAAGAATATAATTTAATATTTATATTTAAAAGCAGTTTATATTTTATTAAAATATTTGTCCAATATTTTGATAATCTTCGATAGTCATTTTCAGGGAAACTGAACAAAATATACAATGTTCAATTTTATAGCGGAGACTTGCAAAGAAAAATCATACAATAAATTCAATAGAAATAAAGACAATAGCAAAATCAACATTTGCTTCTAATATTCCTATAAGCCTGACTACAGTTGTCCGTATCCGTTTTATAATTTAGTCTTATACTATTCAGAATTTTAAGTATTGAAAGCATTTCCAGTAGTCAATATACAATGTATGTGTATAAAAAAAAAAAAAAAATGCTGTACTGGCTTCAGCACTACTTTTATTTTTCAATCAATATTTATATCCAACCATATTTGTCTTAAGTTTGTTCTTAGTCGTACCTATTTATATATTATTAGATACGTTGGACCCGTCACCTTTATAATTCAGCTGGTACACAACATTACATTTTTCTTGATTGTTTATTGTTGTTTTGGTATTACTATATAGTGTAGCCATTGTGTTTGTTTTCTTCTAGATGATTTTACACCATTTCTTGTCATAGGTATTGGAATTCATTATTTGATTTGATAATTTTGGAACAAAATTAATTGATTTATGTTTTTTCTGGTCATTATTATTAGTTGGGTGGACATTTTTTAAGTTCCTATAAGGAATCGTGTTAATATTCTATCTGGGAAGTTTGTTTGCTATGGGAAATATTGTCACTAAGGACCAGAACTCTTCTAATAAATTAGATGCCATATTTAAAATAATGTGTTTTGGATGATTGGAATTGTAGTTAATTAATCCTCCTGACGCTAAAGGTTTTCTGTACCATTGGAAGTGAATCCGGTTATCATGTCTAATTAATTCAACCTCTAAATAAGGAAGCCATTCTTTTCTTTTCCATGTCATTCTTTTCTTCTTCTATGATGAATTTTAAATTTGTGTGAAAAGAATTAAAAATTTTAAGTGTTTGATTTACTTTGTATCTACGTATTATCGCGAAGATATCATCTATGTACTTCGTCAATAATCTCGGTTTATATTCTATAAGCTATAATAATATAAAATAATATTTTTAATACGCTAATTTTAATGAAATGCTTTTCTTGTAATTATATATCTCTCATAAAACTCATCTGTGTTCCTCATACTGAGAAAACTTCCCTAACGATGAACCGGATGTTCATCGTTAGCTCAGAAAGAGTGTTTAGAAAGAGTGTTCGTTTAGATTTAAAAAAATTGTCGGCTCAAATAGATATTAAAGGTTTTGCTTTAATCATTTAATCAACAAAGTAAAAAAATTATGATAAAATATTATTATATATTATAATTCTATATTCAATATTATTTTAAGCAGCAATCAATGCGATTGAATGTCGATGAGTTCTGCAAACTCATACATGCAAGTCAGTAAATATCAAAGAAAGCAAATGCAAATACAATTAATATACTTTAGTTTTTACTATTTATAGTATTCACTCGATAATAGTAATCAAAAAGTGATATTTAAAAGCAAATGTTAGAAATATTGTTGCATTTATTTTACAACCTGAGCAAAGTATTCGAATTTGTATTTCATGCAAAAATTAAAACTTCACTGTTTAATAAGTTTGATGAGTTTGCTTCGAATAAGATACTATTCTTATCCTCTATTGATATTATCCTCTATTTTAGAAGATATACTCATATTTATTTATTATACTTCATTTTGATACATAATTGTTACAAATATTTCGAGTTCAAGTATGACACAAAATTCTGTTTAGTTTTCTTGCAATTTGAAGACTTTTGCAAACAAAAGCCACTAAATCGGGAACGTGTATATATTTATGTGGATATCACACTAAACTTCAAGTGTTTCAACTAGGCAAAAAATTATGTGTTTCTGGTTAAAAGTTATATATACAAATATCCAAATATTTATTTTTTTTAGGTAGAAAGGCTATGCGTAAACACGGAATACTCGTAGCAAGTAACAGAAAAAGATATTGTATGTCCAAGTTATACTGTGTATACTATATCGGAATGTCCAATTTACAGTGGTGACTTCATGTTTGCACGAGAATTTCATTTTGCATGCTTTTAATAAACAAAACTTGTTGTTGTTGAAGCTCTTGGCTGATGTCACGTTGATTACTAGTCTTCCACAATTTTGAACATATATTTATCAGCAATGTCAACAGCTCTTAAACGTTAAAAAGATTTTTTGTTGAAAGACAGTACTTTGTTCTCTCTCCAAAAGACCCATTAGCTTTGCTTATTTTTCTAAAGACCCGGGATGAGAACCGGGTATCATCAGTATGTGCAGTTCTGCTTTGTTGCTTAAATTATCATTTCTAATATGAGGTTAAAAGCATTATTTTGCTTGGTCACACTTTTAGGTAATATACTATTAACACATTGAATTCAATTTTCAAGAAAATACATACAGAAGAGACTCATTTTAGGGACTCATTAATCTTCTGTGATTGATTGATCTTCCATACTTCCCCCAGCTTATGACAGGTGATGTAATGGTCATGTAAATTTCAACTTATGAACAATCTTTGCTAATTAGTATAAATATTTTCGATTGTAATTAAATTTTTCGAATTTATTGTTTTTATATTAATAATGTTTTTGAATGCATATTTTTATTGCACACGCTAATTAGTTTAAACAATATAGATATATATATATTTGCATGTGATTGATATCTAATAAAGCATTTAGGTTATTATTTATTCCTCACACAACAATATACTTTTTATCAGCTATATGTATTTGTTATTGTGAATCTTTTCTATTTATACATTTCTACTTATAACTAAACGGTATCTACTTAATAGTAATAATTATTTTGGTTTTAGCCATAGAATCGTTTAAGCAATGTAAAGTAGGAATAGGTTGTATTCAGCAATGTTTGTAAGAGTTCCAAATTCATGTGTGCTACGTTTCCAACTAAAATCTTTTCCAAAGCAAATCATTTTATTATTAATCATATTTTTAAAAAAATATATTGAAGTACTTGTCATACCGCACAGGGCTTCTGGGCACGCAGCATAAATAACTTCAGAAACTTCTTAGTATCCATATCAGAATCATACCAATTGCTTTCATAAGCAGCTGTAGCTACAGCAATACTCTATAAAATAATATCAAATAATGTAATACTTTATACATAAATAAATCCGTGATTTACAACATATTCAAAAAGGGTGTTCACGATTTCATGCAACGAGCTTTCGTTTAACGTAAAATTTATATTTCATTTCGAATAGTATTTTTTTCTCGGCACTTTGGAGTTTTGCTATGTTACTCGTTTACCGAGATCGTGAACGCCTCTAATGTAGAACTCACAATACGGTAATCAAATTCTACAAACCTCCACGTATAGCTCATTGGCAAAGAAATACATAGGTATTATCTGAGCTGCAAATGTTATGATGTAAGCACTGACAATTATCATTTGACCCACTGTTTGAACCTGAATTGAAAATAATATATCAGAATATTAAAAATACCATTAGGAATATAAAATTAAAAAAAATCTTACAATTAGCAGCAAAAATAACATAACGCAAAGCATTGCTCCATAGGTGAGGAACTCAGTTAACCAAATATAGGTTGTTAAGCCGTTGACTGTATCTACAAACCTTTATAAAATATATATTTTTTTTTAATTAAAGAAAGAAAACAAAATTACAAGAGTGCACTTTTTTCGAGTGAAAATATATAAAAATAAAATTTTTAATTAAAAAGAAAATGCATTCATAACATATATATAACTCATTAAGATGTAATGATTAACAATCAAGAAAAAATTCAAAATTTACTTGTTTAATTTGGATATTAATGGCGTATACCCGCGAATATTTTAAAAAGAAGTGCATGCAGACCTAACTGTCCTACAGTTTGTAGCAATTACTTCAATATGCAATAGATGAAACATCTTTCTTAATAATAAACTTTAGTACTACAATATTAAGATAGACCCAAATACATAAAGATGATAGTAATTATATGACTAAATGTATAGTCATTAGCGGATTCGTAAAAAATCCTTAGAAAATGGATAAAAAACAAGTATTGTAAAAACTATACAGATCCGTTGATTTTAAGAAATATACCTCCAAAACTCAGAGACCCTTGTTTGCAAGCCTTGTTTGCGAACCTTGTTTTCGCCCAATTCTTAGGGTGTACTGATCACACCTTTTGAGTGACCGTACAAACTCTGACATTTATAAAAAACTGAAGGTGTAGGGTTAAAATGTCAAGGATATGCAGAATATATCCATTTTGGCCACAATTTGTATTGACTTCAAATAATCGAATATATATATCGAATATCGAAAAAACAGAGAACATTATTTGCAAGCCTTGTTTGCGAACCTTGTTTTCACTCAATTCTTAGGGTGTACTGGTCACACCTTTTGAATGACCCTACAAACTCTGACATTTATAACAAACTGAAGGTGTAGGGTTAAAATGTATATAGATATGCACAATATATCCATTTCGGCCACAATTTATATTGACTTCAAATAATCGAACAATTCATATTAAGCTTTAAACTATTCGTTTGTTTCGAATATGAGTTTGTTTGCAGGTACAACCTTTTGAGATCAGATACTAGATAGAAGTTGCTGAGCATTAAACATCTTTTCTATCTTCTATCAATTTTCCTAGGCATGTGACCCTTTATTTTTAATTTTCATAAGAAAAAATTATTATGAATGGCATTTGTTTTCATATTCAATGATCCATATTATTTGTTATGCTTTAAATAATATTATCTCACCTGATAATTTTAACCTGGTATTTAATACACCACACTAAATCATCTTTTGCTTTTGAACTGTTGATGAAGTTCAAGTTTCTTATTTTATATTGTAAAGTTTTGCACATGAGAATACCAAACATTATGAATGATATTATTAGATTTGTATATGGTATGTTCATGCAACAACCCATGGGAACCATAATAACTTGCAGTATAAAAATAATTTCATAATAAGGACTTCTGTACTTATTTATGCCTGGTACAAAGACGCCAAATGGTAACACTAGAAAAAACAAAAAAAAAAATATATAAAGCAATTGTTTTGATATTTTTTATTATTATAATATTTATTATATTACATACTTATTGTTTTTTCTTTTTGAATATTACTGTAAAAATTTACGAGATAGTAATTGTTTTTTTTATATATCACATCAGTGTCAGAAGTTTCATACAACTACGTTGAGACCTATAGTAAACATTCTTTAGTACTCGAAGAAAGGATATATAATTCATCACCTCCGATTTAAATAAACATTATTAGCTCCTTTCTTAAAATAAAATTTAGAGTATCTCAGAAAAAAGTTTGTACCTTTTATGTAAGAAATAAGTACCCATGGAATTCTGAGAATTTGCTTTTAAGCTTAATTTCGAAAAAGGTATATTTCAGCTTCTATAAATGATAAAATTTTTAAAAAATTTTTTACTCTATTAAGATAATTAATTGAGTACTTAAGAAATAGAAACAAATTGAAACTGTTTATATTTCAATACTTATACTAACTGTTAATTTAAAAAAAATATTGAATTGTTCCCGACAGCATTATTTCTAAAAGTATATTTAAAAAATTTATTAAGGCTGTACCCTACGTTTTACATTTATACAATAAATTATAGTTAAATAAAATTTCAGTTAATATACCAAAAATAATTCTTAAGCGAAAATAATATTAAGAGCAGGAAGAAAATCAATATCTTTAATTTATTACAAACTTATCCAATAGCACTAATAAGACAAGGTTCATTTCAAATAAATCTATACTCTTGATTATATGCACCCGTATTTCATGTATACAGATTGACACTCATATGCTCTCCGTAGGTTCCTTAGCTAACGGCATCTTATCTAGAAAATGAATCAAAAGTGTACAGAAAGAGCTACTCTATTTGTAACACATATTTCTAGAGTTATAGGGAGTCAAAAAATTCTGTCGTGATGAAAACTTTAAACCAATGAATCACTTATGTATTAAAAACAGGTAATACTAATTTATTATCTTACTAGTAATCTTAAGATTACTCGAGCATAATATAACTTTCGATTAATTTTTTGTTCTTTATATAACATATATATAATTCGTGAATATTATACAAATAATTTCTTGTACAAAACTTATCGTCATAATCGTTGTTTGAAGCGAACTGCCTACTTTTTTTAGAAAAACTTCACAACTTTACTAGTCCGTATGAGAACTAATGAATACGTTGCTTTTAGAGGATTTTATTAAGGTATATATTAAACATATAAAGAATAAATAATGGAACATTTATAAGAATAAATGGGAGATACTCTGGAACACTCTGCACATTTACATATTTATTATATTTGATATTAATATTATTTTGAAGTAAGAGCTTTTTAACTTTGAAGTAGTGTACTATGTTATACATACCCTTTGAAGTTGAAAATATCGGGTAGGTGACGAAACCAATGCAAGCTAATATACCCATTAGTAAATTAATCCTGGTGAAAACTTTTGCTGCTTGAATTGTGTTTTTGATTTCTGAATTCACAAACGTATCGTTCATACACTGAAAAATTGATAACAGAGAAACAGTTTTTTTTCAAAATTTATTGGAATAATTTATATATTTTAGAGAGATAACTGATGCATATATTTATTTTTATATGTTAAATTTTTTTATTACTTTTAGCATTACTTACCATGAGTTGGACGTAGTAATTCTTCAATTTCGCCATAAACTGTTCGTATCTATACCGATGTAGGCAGAGTAGCAAAGCCCTTAAGATAGTATTAAAACAAAGAACTGTTATATAGGCATTCCTGATAACATTTACTATTGGTTCGGTAGTATAGTATAGGTCCAAAAACTGCGTAATATTCATAAGAATGTAGGGTGTTAGACAAACGTAACGTCTCCAGTTATGTACTATCAGAAAGGACCAAAACTTCATAATCCGCAATGTTGTGCTTAAAATAGGCACATCCTCTATGGACTCTATTAAGAACATTTTCGCTGTTAAGTAGAACACTGACTAGTTTTTTGTACAGTAACACATTTTTATATCAAGTTTCTCCCCATTATTTTTATCTATATATAATGGGGTTTATATCTATAATTTAAATGCAAAGCAAAGTTGTTCATAATGACTTTGGCTTTTCGTCTTTTAATGATAAAATGAAAAAAATTTAAAAAAGGGGAAGAAAATAGCTCAATTAATACAAAAAGTTTTTAAAAAACTTTCTTACTATTAGTAAAGCAAACGCAAAGATGCATATGGAATTATAGCACTACATAAGTATTCTATGAAGTTGGTGATTATAAATGACTAGTTCATTTTCTTTTTATTGATTAATAATTTTATATTTTCTTCACTGTTTAATTTGTGACATTATATTTGTTTTTAAAGTATTCAGGTTGCCATCGAGGCTACAAAAAACTCTAGAATTATAATTATTATAATTACGCTTGTATAATTACAATTGCAATTATAAAACTGTTGAGATTCCAACTAAATGATTCATTATTTTAATTAAAAGTTGTGCCTATACAGGACTGTCTAGAATTTTTTGTTTGTCCGTGTAATGGTTGCACTGCCAGTAACGTACTTTTCAGCAATTACACAATGATGATATTGTTTTTGTGTTACCGAGCAAATTTCCATTCGATATACACAGTACTTACATGCTTTTTACAACGGTCACTATTTCTATTTTGAGTTTAATAACGAAAAAATACAAACCTGTCGCTAAAAATTGCTTTATTTTTTCTCAAAGTATTCTCCTTTACGATTAATATACTTTTACATGCGTTTGAACCATTTGTCAAAGCATTCTTTCCAATCTGCTTCAGCCACCTTCAAAAAGAAATTCTTCTGCCGATACAAATCATGACCATTGTCCACGCAATTTATTCTTGTTCTCGACGGTCGGGAACAAGAAAAAGTCATTTTGTGCCAAATCAGGACCGAAATCAGTACGGCGGATGAGCCATCAATTCAATTTTTTCAATATTCAATTACGAGTAGTCGGTTTTTAGACGAAGTGTGTGAGCACTCGCATTGCCTTGATAGAGATGAAGAATGATCCAACGGCGCTTGTTTGTTTTCCGTATTTCACTGAAGACTTTACGCAGACAAATGATTGTAATCCATTCAAAAGTCACCGTTTCACGTTTCTGTAATGATACTCGTACAGTTGTCACATGACTAGTTTTTCCAAAAAACAAGCAACCATTTGTTTTAAAATGTTTCGAACGCGAATAATTTTGATTTGGTTCATCTTGAAACACCCATACAATCGACTGTTCGACCGCTGTTTACGTTCCGGCTCCTACGCGTATATATATATCCATGATTCGTCATCTGTAACAATTTTACATACGTTATAATTCCATTTTTCGCGTACACTTAATTTACAAATCTCTGTAAATAACTCAAATAACGCTCTTTTGACAAAAAGTCTAAGGTAGGTTAAGGTAGGAAATGTCAGATGACACCTGACCACAATTCAGTGTTGCCAAGGCTCAAAATATAAATTGTGACCTCCATAATAAATGGAATAGTTCACTTATTTTAATAACTTTACCTACTTAAAGGTAAATATACGATCAACTATGATCGTTCTTTTTTTATCACATTAAACAATAATAAATTAAGATTTATGATTTTACGTGTAATGATACAATTTAATATATGTTAATAGAAATATATTCTAAATATATCTAAGAATCTATAATATGCATCCTTATTTATATTAATATATTTATATTAATATATTTATTTATATTATTAATAAACAATTCTTAAAAATTGCAAACAAGTGTCGCTATGTAAAACGCTCATATCATTTGTTGTATACCTTCTCTTAATTCTTACAACCTTGTTTCTACAATGTCTACTAAATGAATTATTTTTACTCAACGTCATTTCTCTACTGTTCACTACTATTTATTACGAAAAGAAGTCTTTAATGTGTCCTTTCTATTCCCTGTCATCAAGTTTTTAGATTTTCATGTTCTATTCCGGAATAAAATTAAATATAATACCAATAGTTATATGCAAATTTCAATTGGACTATATCCTTTATCTATTTCTATATTCATCTATTTATACTTTATCCATCTATACTTTATCTATTATCTATATTTGTGCTTATATATTCCAAACGCTTCGATTGCAATCAAAACTTTTCTATTTACTTTGTTGTGCACCTTGGATATCGGATTACTCTTATTCAAAGTTATTTGTGTTAAAGAGTTAAGAACATCGTAATGATGATCAAGTAGCCAAACAACGAAAAATATCCCAGCGAAGAATCTGATGCAGTTTATAAACCATCAAAATAATCTTGTTTACTTAACTGAATGCACTGCCGATACGAGTAACCACTCGAAATAATTTTCCTTTTACATCTCAAGTAATGGTATGGGCAGCTATAAACGCCGCTCTCTAATCGGTTTCATTGAGCCTGGTGTCAAAATCAATGCGACTTATTATTGGGAATATGTTTTGGAAGTTACTTTAGAGAAGTATACACGCAAATATTTCGATTGTGGACCATTGACGTTCCAAGAAAACTTGTCACCATGTCATAAAGTTCGTGTGAACCAAGAATAGTTAAAAAATCATATTTCTAACTTCATTTCGTATACAAAATGGACGATTGTCTTTCGAATTCGCCAGCTGCAAGTCCGATGGACTATTCCATCTATTTTTGAGAGCAATGTGAGGACTAAAAAATCATTCCAGTGTGGTTGCGCTGATAAAAGTCCTTGTTCAGGAATTGGTCAAAATACCGAAAATTACATTTGTGATGCATGCAATTCAGAGTCAAGACAGAAGGTGGTCACATCGAGCTGGAGTGAATGGATTCTGAAATTTTGATTATTTCCATACATTTTTGTAGTTTAAGTCAACAACAAATAATTTTACATAATAAAGTTATGGTCGCTTGAATAGGTAACCAACTTAACCACATAGCATGAAAATAAATAGTTTATTTATTTAATAAATTAAACTCATTTAAAAATTAATAAAGTTTTTGTTTTATTATTTTTTTTTTTAGATCTAAATAAATATATATTTCAATATCAATCATTTTACAAAAACCATAAAATTTTTTTCTATGTAAAATATTTTTTAATTTTTAATTAAAATTATTTATTATACATATTTTCCTTTTAAAAACATGATTTACATTTAGTTCTAAATGTTACATTTATTTCAAAACAAAAAAATTCTTCATCTTTTTAAAAATAAGGATTTATGAAAAAATTTTTCATTTTTTGCATTTTATTTGAATTTTTATTAAAATTACCTAAAGCTATATTACTCTGCGATTACATTGCATGCAAATTTTGTCTTGCGTGTTCGTACGAACATATTAAATATGCGTGATCATATGTAAATGGTATGTGAGCTATTCGCACGACGTCTTGTCTCTCATGCAAAAATTTGATTAAACAAAATATTTTGATTGAAATTCATTCGTTCGAAATCAAAAATGGAAAAAGTGAAATTGAAAGGTATGCGTTCTTTTCACGTATTTTTAATTTAATAAATTGAAAAAAATTTGAAAACGGGTAATGAATTGCGATTTGCTAATTTCTTTGTTTGAGGAATAGACAAACTCTCCATTTTTATACCTTGAAGAACAAAAATCATGAATTTATATTCATCTTCAGTTATTTGAAAATAATAAATACTTGATTTTCCGTTGAATATAAGTTAACAACGGAAATATTGAAGCACTGCAGATTTACTGGTGTCAGCGGATAATATATTTTTTAATAAATATTATCATATTTATTTATTTTATTTATCATATAATATTAACCAATTTCCAGACACTACGTCAGCATAAGATCATATATCTTTTTGCATTCTTATGCTGAACTATGTGTCGTACGAAAAAATCAATAAATGCGTTTTCAGTTTTAGAAAAGCGCTTCATAGTAAGCTAACGTGTTTTGTTTAATTTTGTGGGTAAAGTCTTCATAGAAGACAGAAAAATTGATTAGACAACAATTGTACTAAGATAATTGTTAACTTATATTTCATCTGCACTATCCATTTTGTTTTCAAAACAAAAAACGCGCAACTGTCAATTTGCAGGCAATATAACAACAACATGCGACGTGTTCGCACAAAAAGACATACGTACGAACACGCAAGAAAAAATTCGCATGCAATGTAACCGCAGCCTTACGGTTATGTAAAAACCGTTCCAATAGTGGCAAAAATGCATTAAATTATTGAGATTATTTTTTTTTCTATTATATGATGATAACTGAAATATTTAGTTATAATACAAAAGAATAAACAAACGACTTATATTTAATTTCCATGTTTTATTGAATCTTCTAATATTCTTATATATATATACATATATATATCCTATATATATAAATTAAATAATTTTATTACTAAATCGAATATATTTTAAATTAAATTAATTTTATAAAATTACTATTTTATAAATAATTTCTTATTTAATAGCACAATGTCTTATTAGGCAAACGGCATTTAAACCATGCTTTTAGTTCAATAATTAATTTATATATATATATATATATATATTATTCCTATATTATATATATAAATTAAATAATTTTATTACTAAATCGAATATATTTTAAATTAAATTCATTTTATAAAATTACATCTAGTAGTTACATTAACGATTTTATATATAATTTTTTATTTAATTAAATTTTTTATTTAATAGCACAATTTCTTAATTAATAAAATTTGTCAGTATATATGTATATTCACGTTTATCAGGCAGGCGGCATTTAAACCATGTTTTTAATTTAATAATTAATTTATATATATATATATATATATCATTCTATCATTCGTCAACTTGATACGAAAATATTTCTATATATTTTTTTATAATTATTGTTATAATAAACTTATACATTTTATTTTATTTACTACTTGAATCTCGACTTTAATAGTATATTTACTCAATTTCATATTTTATATTACTACGTTTATACAATATT